ATCGATGTTCATCTTAAATCTCTCTCTTTGCTGTTTCGTTAGCTACTAGCTAGGCGAGATTATTGTCTGCGTTGCTATGGTGACCAGCAGTCTGCGCTGATCTTCAGGGTTAAAGGGTGAATTAGCAGTTCTACATTAACTCCAGAGTTTAAGTCCATTTATTGTTAAACTGTGTTGAACGATCAGCAGAACTTTATTTTACTGTAAAGGAGGATTATTTTATTTTTACCTACAAATCTGATTCTGCTGCGGAGCCACAACAGGGCAGTAAAAGAGCCACATGTGGGCGATATGCATTTAACATCAAGACACATGAAGACAAATTTTAGACGTTTTAAGCACTTGTGAAGATTGCAAGCATATGAGTTCACTGGCTTGATAAGGTCAGTACCCTGCTGACTGGATGCCACTGCTAGTCCACTCTCGGACCACCCAGATTATTGTCCTGCGTACAAGGTCTAATTAGTTTTTAATTTCCTAAAACAGATTTTAAATGCACAGAGACTTTTATTTTGGAAAATAAACTCATTTATAAAGCATAGAAAGAAAAAACAGAAGGAAGAATAAGTAAATTGGACTTTGGTGCAAAATGAGCAACGAAAGTGGAATTTAGTTTAACACTCTGCTGAACCACCAGTGGGCTGCCAGCTTTGCCATCAGGAGGCCAACACTGGCCCTCTATCCTCCTGCTGTCTGGGAAGTTGGACAAAATGCACCAGCAAAATAAGTAGTGCCACATTTTCATGACTGTTTTAAATTTACTGTCTGCTAAAATAAACAGTTTGAGAAAGGAACAGGAGAAAAATAATTCAAACAACGAATAAAAATAAATGAATGACATCCAATCAGCTGCTTGTTACTGTGCAGTTTATGCAGTTACTGTACACTGGTTGTTGTTGTTTACAGGCTCTCTATAATTGATCAAAATAGTTTTTATGATCCATACGGTTCAGTGTTCTAGAAGTGCTGATACACGTACAATACTGATATTGTGACATGATTTATCACTATAACAATAATAAAATGTCAAAGAAAGAAGCCCAGATGGTTTTACCTGGTGCTTTACCTTTAATATTTAAACGATTATTTTTGAGGAGTGTAATAAAAACAAAAGGAAACAGAAGTGACCATTTTAAGAAGGGTTCCTAGTTAGCATATTGACCCAACTAGCTAGTTTGCTAGCAACTTTGTGGAGTGGCTAAATATTAATTTAGCTATAGCAATTAACCTGCTATCAACAGCATAGACCAGCTTGAATTCTGTGCTGGTTTATGCTAGTCTAGTGCTGGTGGTTGGAGTAGTGTAGTTGGTAACACCTCTGCCTTCTACTCTGGGGACTGGGGTTCAATCCCCTACCTGGGTAAGCACCCTACACTATACCAATAAGAGTCCTTGGGCAAGACTCCTAACACTACCTTCACCTACCTGTGTAAAATGATCAAATTGTAAGTTGCTCTGGATAAGAGCGTCTGCCATATGCCACAAATGTAAATGTTTAGATGGTCACCCAGCATGGTCATGCTGGTTGGTCAGTATACCAGCATCCAAAAGACAACATGCTACATTTGGTGTTGACCAACATATCAGCTTCCTTTTGTCTGGCTCACTTGTGGGCCACATCGTTGGTTTGTTCTGGCCCAGTATACCTCTGGGTCCTAGGCCCAGATCTGGCCCACACACTGTGAAGTGAGTAGTACCAAAGGATATGGCCCAAATCTGTTCCCAATCTGGCCCGACTACCCTGTCGGTCCACAATATTCACACCAGAATTGCCCCACAAATGTAGAAACAAGGAAATGGCATGAAGCTGTCCAGGATCTGGCCCTGTTCTGGCCCATCTACCCAGTAGTCAACCAACACTCACATAGGAAAGCCAGAATCGGCCCAAAACTGTCTGCTATCTGGGTGATGATCAATGCTGGTTGCTACTAATGCTAGCTTCACAGCTAACAGACACTGTACAGTATTTCACTCAGTTAAATCGAAGGTAAAAGCTTGTTCTCTTCTTTATTTACAGCTGATAACTGCCATCTTTGTCAGGTTTAGCAGGATGTTAGCATTAAGCTACAGTGCTCCTTGGTGAACGAAGCGACTAAACAATGGTAAACTGTGGAAAACTGTGTAGCACTGCAGTAAACTGTGGAAATGTAGTGCGAGTAGGCTCAAAATCACACAACGCAGAGGGAGAAGATACCTGAGCACTCTTACTGCATTCCAATAAAAGCCTCACTATCTAGCATAACCGAAACATCTACCTAACGCAGTTTGCGGTGTGAGTGGTGTTGTGCTGGTTTAGAATGAGTAAGTGTTTGGCAGCTACGACAGAAAGAAAGATGTGTGCTATTGGGTTAATACAGCATTAGTGCAGTATGAATCAACAGAGCATAAGTCACTGGGGCATCTCTCTCTCTCTCTCTCTCTCTCTCTCTCTCTGTAAATGCCAGCTGTTCCTTGTGCCTGTCCCTTGAGTCCCGTCAGTTCGGTGTACTTGCTATGCTGATATATGTCAAATGTTCTTGTTTAAAGGAATCATTCAGTGTCTTTCAACCTAATCTCTATCTGCCACTCTAGTATAGTACGGTCGAGCACCACAGACAATAATTTGGGCACGTTTCCCTGAACACCCAAAAATATAGAGAAAGTACCGATTCAAAACTCACTTAGAGTAGAGGTCAATGGGCAGCTGCTGAATTCAGCACGTTTAATGTGCATTTTTGTAGAACGCTCTCAGGAATACTTCATTAAATAAAGACGTAAAAATGTATCATTTGTTCAGAGATTTACATAAGGAAGAATTTCCACCTGATCGCCACGGATACCAGGAAACCTCAGAGAAAGCAAAAGTAGCCGGAACTACTTTTTTACTGTGTTGGAAAGTTGGATAGAAAATAGTTCAGCTCATCCCAACATCTGTATTTTGAAAGTGGAACAGTGTTTTTGCATTATAGTCACATTTTATAAGTAAAATTCGAGTTTGGTTATTTACACTCTGGGAGTTTTGCATTGTTTTGCATTTAGAAAAGACCAGAAATCTTCAGCAACTGCCCATTGACTTCCACTATAAGCGAATTTCACGTAAACAGGTTTTCTGTATTTTTCTGAAAACAGGGAATCCTGTCGAAAAATATTGTCCATGGGAATCGACCATACGCCACGGAGGCGCCAAATGAAGACTAGTTTAAAAATGCCGGACTATTCCTTTAATGTGCTGAGGCATTGAACCGAAGGCCTTACTCATGTGTTTTAATAGTAGCCCACCGCAAACATGCCGTTCCATTTCCGTCTATGTATTTCTCCTATCGGCCCATCAACACACAACTGCGACTGTAATCATAAGCCCGAAATCTGAGGGAAAATTCAGAACAGACGTTCACCACTGACCACACTGGTCAGTGCCAACGTGACTCACTTTACATGGCAACGAGGAAAGCAGCGCAGAAAGAGAAAGAGGGATGTAAAGAGTGGAAGAGGGACAGACAGCTGTACAGTAGAGCTGAATGGGCCAATGGGGTCACCTCTAACAGTCATAATATCATAATAAAGGGCATAAAAGGGGGCAGACAGAAGGGGGTCACGAGGGTTAGAGCCAGACAAAGGTTACACAACTTATTATGCACCCCTCCTCTGGCCCTTTTCTCCCTGCTTTTGTTACCAGTGAAGATAGCCTGGCAGCACAGAGCTCAGCGCAACACAACAACTCCAACACGCACACTCGGCCGCAGACAGCGCTTATGTAAAGTGACCGTCATTGATTATAACACATCGTGTATTAGTGAGTGAAAGCAACTTAAAGGAACATTCCGGCATTTTTAAACCTGATCTCTATCTGCTGCGTCTGTAGCGTATGGTCGATTCCCACGGACAATATTTTCAACAGGATTCCCTGTTTTCGGAAAAGAACGGAAAACCTGTTTACGCGAAAATCTTATAATAGAAGTCAATGGGCAGCTGCTGAAGCTTTCCGTTCTTCTCAAAATGCAGGGAAATTGCTATCTATGATGTTATGTGTTGCTGTATTCCTTTAAAAACAGACAATATATCTAATATCTTTCATTATAAGACTGTTGTGAGATTATTTAATGTATTTTTTGACATTTTTACTTATTTAAAGTGATCTTATCCTGTTTGAAGTGAAACGATAAGGTCTTTAAGCTTTAGAAAGAGATAAAAAAGAGAAAGAGATCATTTTAAATGACAACATTATTTTGAATTAGTGCCTGAAAAAATCTCACAACATTATATATTACATAGTGGAAAATATTAGATATATTGATTACATTAAAGGTGAATTTCATTCATGTTTCAACGTTGTTTTGCGTAATAAAATAGTAGATGTAAACAGTCATTCAGAAGGGTTTATCTGAGACGCTCTGTTTTGGAGAAATTTATCAACTCAGAATTGTTCACAATGGTGATGATAGGAACCAGGTGTCCGCCTCTTAAAGCTCCCTCACAAAAAAAGCTCATTTTATTTGTTTATTTATTAAAATTTTTAGTTACAAATAATGCCTGAGACATTGTTTTACGATAGTTTTATGTCAAGCGTTAGGCCTTTTCGAAGTTCCATTCTCGGTGGAGGGATACTTGCAAGGTGTTATAGGGCAAAATAGTCCCTAATTAAAAAAATAGACTTATTTTTTTTAGATTTACCACTATTTCACCATCATCAACATTACATGTGTAACTCAGAAGACATGTGTAGGTTCATCATTTGGAATAGTAAATAAAATATGTTGTAGATACGCGACGCCTGGTTCCTATCGCCACTGCAGTAAACCACTGTAAAGAAATACAATTCTGTGAAGTTTCTCTACAACGAGCCATTTCACACTGAACCACTCTGAGTGACTTTGTTTACATCTCGACCGCTAAACTATGCAGAGGGTTTGAAAAATTTGGCAGAATTTCCCTTTAAGATGCTGAAGATGCTGATATACTAAATGCATTACACTGATAAACACTACAGTATATATACCATACAAGCCCAAGTAGTTTCTGACCTTCTTCAGCTGAGCCAGGCTGGAGCGAGAGGACGAGAGAGAGGAAGAAGATTGTCCACATTTCTGTCAGTACAGTCCACCACGAGAGTGAGGAGAGGAAGAAGCCATGAGAGAGAGAGAGGGGAAAAAGTGGGAGATAGAAAGAGAGAGAAAGAGAGAGAGAGAGAGGGAAAACGGGAGGAGGAGTCTGTCTGAGCTTTTTATTTCAGATTAAAGAGAGAGAGAGAGGGAGAGAGAGGGAGAGATGTGGAGGGGGAGGAGAATACACGCATGATGATGATTATGACTGAGGAGTCAATGAGAGAGAGAGAGAGAGAGAGAGAGAGAGAGAGAGAGAGGGAGAGAGAGAGACATTACAGAAGCATGAAGGGAAGAATTAAAGAACGAGTTGGGCTGGTCTGGACAAAAACTGTCTAGACACGTAGAAGGCTGCGTCTCACACACCCACACAATCTTCAAATGCTCCAACAAGCCACAGGCTCGGCAGAATAAACACATCCATGGCGATGTAACAAATTTTTTGGGAATGTTGGGAATGGTTAGCCACATTGTAGTGTTTAGTGTCGGGGCTTCAGCCTTTGTATTTTTAAGGCAGCACCACCTTTTGGATGTTTTTTAGCTTTATCCTCCTTTTACTACAATAATCCATCCACCCCCCCACCACACACACACACACACACACACACACACACCACCCCCACCCCCACCCCCCATCATCAAGCTTGCCAAAGCAGACAATCCTGCTTGGCTTGCAACATGGTTGTGTTCAAAAAATCTTTAAAAGCAATGCTACCCTCTGGTGGACATTACCTGACACTACAATGTAGAAAACAAAGTGTATAATATGCTATGTGGCCTATATGAGCTTGTTGGACATCCCGTTCCAAAACCATGGGCGTTAATATGGAGTTGCCACTTCAGTCGAAAGAGCATTCGTGAGGTCAGACAGTGATGTTGGACAAGAAGGCCAACCATCAATTGATGCTTCAGTTCATCCCAAAGGTGTTCATTGGGGTCGAGGTCAGGGCTCTGTGCAGGCCACTGGAGTTCCTCCACCCCAAACTCATCAAACCGAGTCTTTGAGCACAGGCGCACAGTCATGCTGGAACAGGAAAGGGCCTTTCCCAAAAAGCTGGAGGCATAAAATTGTCTAAAATCTATTTGTTGTAACATTAACATTGCCTTTTACTGGAACTAAGAGGATGGAACCCAGAAAAACAGCCCCAGCTCATCATCCCTCCTCCACCAAACTTTACTGCTTGCACTATGCATTCCGGTAGGTAGAGTTCTCCTGGCATCCACCAAACCCAGATTCATCCATCAGGCTGCCAGCATGATTCCTCGCTCCAGAGAACACGTTTCCACTGCTCCAGAGTCCAGTGGCGGCAGCTTTACACCACTCCAGCCGACACTTTGCATTGCACATTGATTTTAGGCTTGTGTGCAGCTGCTCAGCCATGGAGACTCATTTCAGGAAGCTCTCGACACACAGTTCTCGTGCTGATGTTGCTTCCAGAGGCAGATTGTAACTCTGTAGTGAGTGACGTAAGAGAAAACATGCAATTTTTTACCCTGCTCTGTAAGTTTCATGGTCTACCACTTTGCGGCTGAGCTGTTGTTGCTCCCAAATGCTTTCATTTCACAATAATAGCACTTACAGTTGTCTAGGGCAGATCTAGCTGGGCAGAAATTTCACAATTCGTGGCAGAGGTGTCACATTTAGTCACTGAGCTCTTCAGTACGACCCATTCTACTATCAGTGTTTGTCTATGGAGATCGCATCGTACTTGATTTTAAACACCTGTTAGCAATGGGCACGGCAAACACCTGAACTCAATGATTAGGAGGGGGATCCACATACTTTTGACAGTAAAGTGTAAGTTAACAGAATGTTAGCAGATTGTTGTTCTGTTAATTTACTTTTTGAGGTTTTATTATTTATAAAATCAAGTTTCAGAGTCAATCTGTTGTGTTGTTTTGTTGCCATGCATGATTTTACTGGAAAAAAAGACCCAATCAGGACTAATAAAGTTCTTATTAATATTACTACCACTACTTCTTAATGTTGAATCATTTTACAGTGTAATATGAACCATTAACATCTGCTGAGTGTGTAAATACATTCCTCAGTATTTCAGCAAGATTGTTATTTGTAATAAAGCAGCTGTTCCTTTTTCTAAAAGCTGGTTGCTGTTGGCATATTACAGGTGAATAAGGCGGAGTGGTATTTAAAGAGATTATTTCAGAGCGCCAATCATGTCAGCGAGGTCAGAACTAACTGTGGTATAGTATATTACAATATATTAAAATTGATATACTTTTAGAACTCACCCTCTCGTGTTTAGCAGGCTGAAGATTCTCCATAAGGGGGCGCTATGTTTCATAAGTGCGGTGCTTTGCAACCATAGACCTCTGAAGTTGTGTCCTCATTTTGTTGTCACCATCAAGCCAATATCAGAAACTCAGAATCTAAGCTGGTTTTCCAAAAGGTATTTTGACATTGACACTGTCTGACACTGATGCACACTAAACTGACATCAGCATGATAGTTAATTTAGTTTTAGGCAGTTTTAGGCTGCAGTTTCAGTGGCTGGTGTTGGTTTTTAAGTTTAATAGTAGACTTACTTTCATGCTTCATCATTGCTGTGTGCAGGAGTGTTAGCATGTCAGCTTATCTGCTAAACGACCTCGTAATTCAGAGGATCCAGTGACATTAAGGGGAAAATGTACAGGACAAAACAGACTAGAACATTTTAATTAACCACGGGACTCGACAGCGCCAATCTTCGAAAACAGCTTTTATTTTTCTCATACGGAACAATTATGAGAAAACTAGGAGCTCCTAATATGGGTATGACGTCAGTGGTGTATGGATGTGAAGCGCTGCTCTTACTGCTGGAGTGCTAACACCGCCCCCTTGTGGAGAAAATTCAGCCTACTAAACGTGAATGAGTGAGCGAGTTATAAGCTAGATCCATTAGGCTCTTCATACGTGCAAATTTAGACACAGAAACACAATATTTGTGAAAAGTATTTTATTCATTCACAATTGACATCTCAAAAGTTATAAAAAAAATAAAAAAGTAAAAATAGTACAGAAAGTTTCTGTAATCTCCACCAACCCAGACATTCATATATTTAAAGGTCCATATTCTACATTTATTTATTTATAGATAACATATGTATATATGTATATAGTCACTTTCAATGTTTGTGTAACTGTTTTTAGGTGACCATTTGGCAACCAATCCATCCATCACAATGAAACAGGCTGTTTTTGTTAAGACTGATATATGTAAATGGCATCTGTTCAGCTATATGAACGCTAAGCATATTATTTTGATGTGTTGCAGGAGTTGCAGATGAAAACTGTTTACAGACAGCTGCTCATAAAGCGCTTCTTCAGATTTAAGTGATTTCTGTAGGTGAAAATGTAAGAATTCTTAGTTTGCAGGACCTTTAATACACACTTGTACTGATTTCAAAGAAATAAATTACTTGGTTTCAGTGTGCAGAGATGACACAGATGCATGGAATCAGTGTAGGATGACAGTATTACCTTCCACGCTGTATTAAAGAGGAATTCCAACAGATTTTTAAAGAATTCTACATAATTAAATGGTTGAGATGTAAACAAAGTCACTGGTGGGTTGGTGTGAAATGCTCCATTCTAGAGAACTCTAAAAGCTCCCTCACAGAAAGTTATTACATGAAATGGTGACAAATGTGTCACTTTAGTTTTGAGAAGGTTTCGGACTAAAACGTACATCTCAACCACTGAAATATAGCCGCTAGTAGCAATGAGTGGGTCCAAGCATGTGTCTGCACAATAAGCCCTTCTGCTGTTTAAGCCAATTAGGTCTCTAACAGAAGAAAAAAAAAGGAAAGGAGATCAGAGTTTATCAAAAGGCCTTCATTTTGCCATTAACAATGAGCAGAGGCCTTTAAACATAATATATGTTTACGTTTATATGTATTGATCTAGAATGGTTTGTAGAACATGCAACAAATTGTCAACATAGATGTTAATTATGCAGAAATGTAGTAAAATTGCGGGAATTCCCCTGTAAATAAGCTGGGGTGAGGAAAGTCCTACCAGCCTCAAAAGGTGCTTTAGCAAATCATTAATAGTCATTAGATAAATACAACTTCAATAAATACAGTAAGCAATCATTCTATTCCCTGATAAACACTGCAAAATTCATAAACACTGCACAGTCACAACGAACATCATCTTTATCTTCAAAAGGTGCTGGGTTGTAAAATTGTTCAATCTCGGAACATTATATGGCTTTTTCCAACACTGAGGCACAGGTGAAAACATTATGGCATTAATAAAAGACATAATAAATAACAAATTAGTGCTTATGTTTCCCCCACTCTACATTCTATTTATATACTTTTGTGTAATACGTAACAGGGGTAAATAAAGGTGTAAATATCTGAGATTCAACAATGCAACAGTCAATTTTGGGATGTTACATTCTGTCTTAATGTTAACAGAAACCAAATGCAGCACCGAAACAGTTCTTTCGAACTTTCGTAGAAAAAAGTGAACAAACAGGCAGAAATCTTCACTTGACAAACAGATGTCCTTCCTTAGAACAGGCTAATGGTGATACTGGACGGGCTACTTTCCATGAAAGTGAAATTAGAGTGGAGTTTCACCGTCTCGTTTACGAGCCCTAACTCTGTATCTAACTTTCGCATCATAACTCCGATCTCCGTAACTCAGTTTGAGCATCTTTTAGAGATGCTCACCCGTCACCATGCATGATGAAGCAGAGGACACTGTTGGAAAGTTCTAGTTGCCGGGACAGTTGTTTGTTGCCATGCCAACAGCGGAGACAACAGCGATCAGTCGAGTGAGTTCATGTTGGCTGCGAAAGTTTGCAAAAATCTAACAGAAGGCGATAAAAATAGTCACGTTTTGACCGTTTGGTGTGCAAAATATCATCAGTTACACACAACATTTATTGCCGTCCGAATGAATCACACAAATAAATCGTGCTCAGTGTGTAAAGTGCCACAAAAGTGTTCTTTAAGAAACGCTACAGAAGAACCACTTTTGGTTCCCTAAACAGCCAAGGACATAGTGTCATTGATGCAAAGCACCACTTTTATGAAGCACTGTAAGTTATTTGAGTGCTAACAGCTCCCCCTTGTGGAGAATCCCCAGCCTGCTAAACAAGACTGAGCAAGTTCGGTCATGTTTCTGAGGGGTTTTATGCCAATTTAAGAGTTCTTCCTAGAACCTTTACCGTATGTGGAGTTTCTTTAAACTTTATGTTCTTCAACACTTATATATTCAGTTTTAAAAAATGGTTCTCTAAGGAACCATCCATTGAAAGGTTTTTAGGGAACCTAAAGTGGTTCTTCTGACATGGTCCATGTCTGACATGGTTTTTTTAAGTGCATAGAATCGATTCTAATCATTTATTATGATATTCAGTAACCATTTTCTGGCCAAAACAAAATTCTCAGCTATTTTCAAATGTAAAAATCCAAAATAAATAGTGTAAACAGTTCCTCCAGTCATGTTTGTGTGTTCAGTGTACTTTTAAAAATAGTCGTACCAAATGGAAATGAATCATTCTGAAGAGATTTACACTCCTCGTTCTATAATGTATGAGGCTGAGAATTGTTGCGCAGTGTTCACAAAGGCATTATAACTCACATAAAAACATTATCAATAGTATTCCACCTCATAATAGTTGACCTATTTGTTAATTTTGACCCTATTTGAGGTCAGCGAAGGTCAATCTCACTTTTTCTCTGCACAAACTTATGTGACAAAGCACATCAGACAAACCGTCACCTCCTTGGACTTTCTGGGTGCGTGAAGGGAGTCCGACCTAACCCGTGTCTGTGTCTAGGGGATCGGTCCACTCTTGGCTCCGTCCGGCCCGGAAAACTCCACCATTTGCACTTTCTCTGACGGGGAGACAGGCAGACTGACCCCTCCCTCTAAATGAGATGGTGGGGCGTGGCCAGATGAGGCAGCCTTGGCAAATCCGCTGGCGATGTCCTCGAAGGTCCGGCCCTTGGTCTCTGGAACCCGGAAGTAGGTGAAAAAGAAGAAGAAGACGAGGAGGACGAGGAAAATGATGAAGACGTACGGTCCACACAGGCTCTGGAGAGAGAAAAGAGGGATAGCGGTCACTCTCAGTCTCTGTTTTAGTGCAGGGAGTAACTAGGGGTGCTGAGCTAACTTGCCAACCATAAACAGTAAAAACAGACCACATAACTAAAGATAGCTATGTCATCTAATCCAGCCTTCCGACTGACCGTCTGCCATGGCAGCTCTTTTAATGCATTAATTTACAGTCAAGTTGGGAAAGGTTAGAGCTTTTACAAACAAAATCACATAATTTTGCATTTGAAAGCTTTTACAGGGGGCCTTTATGGTGGTATGTGCTCTTTACTCTTGAATTTAGAGGAAAAAAAGCATCAATTTCTCGACTGAACAATTTACTGTATGGTGTTGCCATATGGCAACGCTGACTTTTTTGCCAGCCTACAATCCAACGTTCAATTTTTTTTCTTGAAAGCCTTTTGAGTAACTTTTTATCCTCCTGTTGAAGTCTGTACATCACTTTAGATGTGAAGCAGCTCATGTAGGCTTGTAATGGCTCACTCAACTTTTTCTCACAAATCTAACTGTTGACATATGGCAACAGAATGAAACAGTGGAACAGCTACCTGCATGATACATATAATGCATACAAAGTAATGGAGTGAAGGAAAAATACACTATTTTTCACCATGGCTTACTTCGAATGTACGCATTGCAGATTGCAGTTCCATAGCCGCACGCTGTTGCCACAGGGCAACAAAATGCAAAGTACTCCCCAGAAATATGTAATTCATAATTCATCTTGTAAATGGTAATATGATTTTCTTAACGCTGATGTAAACTATTTGGTGTATAAGCAATGTAGTCTAATAAAGCTGAAAATCTGAAAATAAGATTTTGATTCTGTCGCAAAACTACCATTTTGAGGAAGCGCTTGAATAGGAATGTAGGCCCTTTATTGTTATTCTTGGCCTATTATTGTTATTCTGATTAATCAAATAAATGATATGCATCTCACACAGCTATGTAAATGCATTCTGAGTGTGTGAACACGGCCATTTAGAAACTATTACAGTGCATCCAACAATAAAGGCAGCATGGAGCTTCTTTTATACAGTGATAGGAAACACGGCAGCTCACGGAAAGCTCCAGTTCCACACGCTGATCCATTTTACTGACCAACATCATTTAAAAGGGACAAACACAAACAAGGCGACTGTACTCAGGCAGTAGTTAGGGTTAAACTGGGTAGAGCAGAATGATGGATTCCTACCATTAGTACGGGGAAGCACTGGCCCACCAGGAAGGCTGCGGTCCAGTTAGAGCAGCCCCCCACAGCGACGGCGGCCGGACGAGCACCCTGCGCAAACAGCTCCGTCGCTATGAACCATGGGATAGGCCCTGGGCCGATCTCAAAACTGGCCACAAAGCCCAAAACAGCCACAACTGCCACATAACTGATCGCTGACGTTTTGCCCTGTAAAAACGATAAAAAAACAGAGAGAATAATGTTAGACTGGAGTTTAATTCAGGAACATCAACTTCAGTTTTATGCCTTTTCTATAAACTCTCACCCCTTCTGATATCGCCTCTATGGTTCTGTTGCAGGCACTCACAACTGGAGCTCCACACGGGTTCTCTGCTTGCGGTGCACACGGGTCCTAAAAGCGGTCAGGAAAAATCACAGCAGTGACAGATGAGTGACATAGTCCAGCAGATGCTTCTGAGTAGCTGCCACTTGGCTAGCAACATCTTACAGTAGGCTACTGTACATCAATATGACTGTTCAAAGGTTTGCGATTATGAATGATTTTTGTTAGATATTAAATAAGAAATGTATAACTTGTAATGTATAGATTATAGATTTAAATATTATAATGGCAAAATATATTTTAAAAGTCTTATTTAGTATTTTAAGTTATTAAATGATAAATAATATACCGTCTATTTACAACATCAGTTTTATTCAACTTCATTAATATCAATAAATCATTTTTATTAGAACTTCATTCTAAATATGAACTTTTTTATAACTTAATTCTTATATAAATCATATAAGGACATCATTTTAACTTCATTCTGGATATTAATTTTATTTCATTTTAATTATAATTTAATTCCAGATATTTTTTGTTAGAATTTCATTTTAGATGTTAAATTTCATTCTAGATATTCATTTTATTTTAACTTTATTCTGGATATAATTTTTTTTAGAAATTAACTCTAGATACTTAATTCTAGATATTAATTTTATTAGAGCTTCATTTTGAATAATAATTATATTATAACTTCTTTCTGGATATTTATTTTATTAGAACTTCTTAACTTTCTGTAACTTTATCAGTCATTTTAGAATCTTCTGCTCTGTGAATCTAACATTTCATCATTTTTATTTACATCTTCTTATTAATTACTCGAAGCTGTAAAGCTCAGAATGAGCCGACTGGAATATTTTTATACATTGAATTGCAACCATATTGATTTTATATTATTATACTGATATTATTGAAGACTTTGATTCCAAACCGTCAAGTTTATTACTTTCAATCAAGAAAATCTAAATTACGAGAATTTGACACAAACGTTGTCTTCTGTGATAATTACTTAAAATTAGAAACGCACATTAGTGAACAGGTGATGACAGAATGCATATAGAGAGGAAGTCTAAACAGCGCTGGTGGAATAAAGGTCAGATTACAGTGACACTCAGAACGACTCTCACCATCACCATCTGGAGAGCGATGGTCACTATCAGAGTGCAGACGGCCATCCCACCCAGCCCAAACATCTGAAGTGTCCTTCGTCCTGCTCTCTCCACCAGAAAGAGCTGATGTCCAAAAGCAAACAGACAGCAGGTTAGATTGATTCTGTGCTAACGTGACTGTAAAATTCTACGACAATAACAAAGAAATTGGCTAATGTGAAAAAACAACAATCATTCGGTGACCTCTATGTGCTATTAAAGCGATAGTTCAGTCATCAAATTTGCAGTTTCCCCCCTTAAACCAGATGTAGTTGATCAGCCAAGCCGTGTTTGGTGTCTGAAGTTTGCTTCAATAGACTTGCTTATTGCTCTAATACAGCGTCAGAAACCACATAATCAAGTCTATAGAAGATACTGAACTACCAACCACACGCATGAATTAGGCTGGAGTCTAGATCAGTGTTTCGATCCTGCTCTGCACGTTATACCGTTTTCCTCTCTCCCAACACACCTGATCTAGTCACCATATCATGCATGTGATATGGGTTAATGCATGTGATACAGGTGAGTGCATGTGACACAGGTGCATGCATGTGATAGAGGTTAATACATATGATACAGGTGAATGTATGAGATATAAGTTAATGTTGAGCAGGTTAAAGGTGTAAAATACTCACAGAAACTACAGTAAAGACAGTGTTGACTACGCCGGTTCCAATAGTGGCATAGATGGGTTCAGTGACGCCTGCATTGATGAAGATTTCTGTAGAATAAAACATCACCTGGAAACACAGAGAAACAAACAAACACACTAAACAAAATGAGGAACTAAAGAAGAAAAAAAGGAGGTGGAGGGGAAGTGAGAAGACAAGAAATCTTGCTATTTCAACACACACATTCCTGTCAGCAGCTGGGCTGAGACGACTTAGTGATCGCTTAATTTAACCTGTGCAAAGTGTGTGTGTGTGGGGGGGCTCAATGTCTGAATTCAAAGGTAAATCTGAATTGCAAAGTGCAATTCAGATTTACCTTTAAACATACACTAAATCCAATTATTTACACAGTGGTGAAAATATAGATAATAAATACACCAATATCAGGCAGGTTACAGGTAAAAAGTCATAAAAATATATTAAGTTTCTAAATATTATTTGAATAAATTATTATTACTCCGGATCTTGAGGCACTGAAGCATTTTACTTCCCTAAAGCAAAGAGTGCAGATATGAACTACTCGGGCTTTAAAATGCATATTGTGGGATAATAAGAGTTACTGCACTGATGATCAGCTGATGAAGGTTCAGTTACAGGACTTGTGACTCACAGCGTTGATGCCGGAGAACTGCTGAGAGAGGTTCATGAGGATGGCGATGATGATAGGCTGCCTGTAGATGGGGTTGCGGAAGAGCTCTGGGATGGACACTTTCTTCTCCATGGCAACCTTCATGGCCTCCTCCTTCATCTCCTGAATATCATCCTCAATGTCCTCGTGCCCTCGAACACGTACCAACACTGAAACATGGAGAGAAAACAGAACGACTGTTGAACCTCAGCCAAGAACTCAACCTTTACTGTGAGGCAAATGTAGCTAACAAGTAACTGGAGCTTATAAAATAGTGCATCTATAGAAATGAACTGTTTTCAGCTATAGGTTGTACTTTTTTGTACCATTTTTACAAATAACAGTATGTCATACAGCGTATGCTGGCTGGATACACTGGATAAAGTGGACCGAAAAAAATCAAACAAGAAGCTGGCGAACGAGAAACGACTTCAGCCTCGTAAAAAGTCGCACATTGAAAGACATTTTACAAGAAACTACTACTTTAAAAAAAAGTTTCCTGCTGGAGATGTGAGAAAAGCGGCTATAGCTGAGCTAAAGCTTAAAGCAGAGCAAAGTAAGTCTGTGTTTTTGTTTATATTGTATTACACTAGCATATCAGCACATACTGAGACATATTTACAGCCAAGAGGGTAAAATGGACATAAAATGTTGTGGCTACCAAGGTGGTCTGATTTTTACTGAAAGGACAAAGTGTCTCTTCTTAACACTTGGGTTGCCGACCACGATCTAGAGTGACATTTTATGGGTTAAAGACTAGGAAAACCCTCTTCTGATGATGACCTTAAAGGTAGGAAGAACTTTTGAAAACCTACAGCTGCTCTTTCTGGGTAAGCTGTTTTGAAATGGTTCTCAGAAGGAAGGCAGAGAGTTAACGGTACTGATAGGAAGCCGAACACCTTATAATCTTAAATGATAACCGACACTGCAGTGGATTACTCAAATGACAGAAATGACTCTTCAGATGATGATGCAACCAGCTAGAAGCTAAAGTTAGCGTGATTATCTAGACACCTCATCTCAGCTTCCTCTTCTTTTTTCTGGCTCAAAGGGTAAAAACTCATCTCTGGTATCCATTTTGTGTTGAATAAAGACAGAATCACTGGCTGAGTTTACATGCTAAGATATTCGCCAATCCGATTGAATACATTCCGATTATAGATTAAGAATTTACTCAACAATCTGATGGAAAATCTCTGTTTACATGCTCACTACAAGTAATCAGATCCAAAATGACGCTCATGCGTAGAGAACCACTTAGTGTAGACGTTACCATGACAACCAGCATCAGTGAGATGAGCAGCAGTGAGCAGTGCTGGAGTTTTTAATTGCTTTAAAATGATGTCAGACTCAGGAAAACGTCCTTCACATGTCCTTATTAAAGAAGGCCTTATTAAAGAAACTTCATCTCCTCTGCAGACCAGTTTCTGCTCCGCTATGTTGAACATTATAAACTTTCACTATGATGCGACGAACACGATCAGAACGGACTTAAACTTTCCGATAGGGAATGTAATCAGATACAGGCGTTTACATGGTTATTATTCTTCTATTTAACGGAATATTTACAGGATTGCCCACCTCGATCAGTCGGATAGAAACTGTATTCCAAGTGGCCTCAATCAGACTAGTCTAGTTTACATGGATGTATTCTATTCCTATGGATTATCAGGCTGCACGTAAATGTGGCCACTGTTTTCTTTGCATTTGTTTGACTATCCAAGGTAAGAGTTGCACTAATGCTAACTTGGTTATATTTAAAAGCCTGCGCATCAGTGGCTAAGCTAGCTGTCAGGATTTGTTGACACCACAGGGATTCCCAATGTATATATTTGTGCATGCTGGGAAATGTAGTGAGAGAACGTAGATGAGCAAAAACATGAGTGATATAAAGCGTGAATGAAGCTGAGGGTTATAATGCTGCACTACAGAACACTACACAACAAATAACACAGTAAACTCCAGACTTAGGCCAGAATCCCTTGGGGCAAAGGATAGCACTGCAGCTGATATTGATTTGGACAGTCTACTCACCCTGGCGAGCCTCGTCCTCCTTCTGCAGGTTGATGAGCAGGTATCTGGGGCTTTCTGAGCAGAAGAGCAACATGATGGTCTGCAGTATAGCAGGCACGATGGTCAGCCCCAACAGCAGCGGCCACAGTGACTGAGAACCCAGCAAAACCTCCAAACCTAAAATCTAACATGAGGACACAGAGATAGATTAATAACTGAAAAGGAAACGACACGATAACAGTAACATCATCTAACAGCATGTTATCAAGGTAATGTACACTGTATGTCCAGAAGTATCCAGAGTTGTCCAGCTTTTCTTCTGAAATCAAGAGTATTAAAAGGGAGTTTTAATACACAGTCAATTCTCTTCGAGGAAGGCTTTACAGACAAGATGTTGGAACACTGCCGTGAGGATTTGATTGCATTCAGCCACAGGAGCATTACTGAAGTCAGGTACTGAGGTTGGATGGACAAAAAAGGTTCTCATCCAACATCTAACATCAGTACCTAATTATTTGTTAATTACACACTAATTACACTGTTATCTTCATCACTACTTTCCAAAACCACTGCAGCAGCTTCAGCACCTGTAAACTCTCTGCACGCCATTTCACATGTGCCTCCGACGTGGACTGAATGAAGAATAAAGGGTTTCGTGATGGTTGGTCCTTAGTGATTTCTTGAGTGTCCATTGGTCAGTTTCACACAGAATGTAGACGGACACACCAATCCACCAGTTCCACACGGTGAGAGGCAGATGACGTGTATCTCAGCCCCTCTTCATAGGCTCATAACTCCGGACGTGAGTCACGTACGATCTCGAGATAAGATGGAATGGAAATTTGACGCACCCGTGAGTTTGTGGACCCCAGAGGGTTAAAGACGTTCTGTTTCAGTGGAGCTGTATGTAATACCTTTTCTGCATGAAAGCTCACCTGAGCTATGAGGATGCCGATGACTACGCCCAGCTGGTGGAGTGTGCCGAAGGCTCCCCGCAGGGATGTGGGGGCCAGTTCGCCCACGTACATGGGGGTCAGACCAGAGAACAGGCCACAGAATATGCCGATGACCAGCCGGCCCAGAATCACCATCTCATACGAGCGGCACGCACTGGACAGGCCCATCAGAGCTCCGCCTATCAGAGCCAGGATATTACACAGGAGCATAGACTTACGCCTGTGAGCGAGAGAGCGTCAGAGAGAAAGAGAGAGTTAGAGTACGAAGAAAAAGAGACGATAACAATACAATAATAGGAATAATAATAGGAATAATTTATAATAAATTTTAAAGAAAGTGCAAATTCTGAACAATCCATATGACATTTTATGAGTAGAAGAGGAAATACTGAAGTGTTTGGAATTTGATGAAAAGTATGTTGTGTCTTAGAGTTTTGTTTCAGTTTTTGCCATGTTTTTGACATTTTTTGACATTGAAATAAATGGAAAAATTGCAAATTCTGACTCACACATGTTGATTAATTCATTATTAATTACGCACTATGGGCGACACAGTAGGTGTCCATACATATCAACAATCTAATTGGTCACCACTCAGCTCATTTGTACAGAGCTCCGAAGGTGACATGGTGATTATTTTTTAAGAAGACGTGGCCACAAATTACCATATTGAGGCCACAAATTACAATATTGGGGCCATGAGTAAATATATTGAGATCACAAATCATAATATATTGAGGCAACAAATTACTATACTGAGGCCACAAAATACTATTTTGAGGCCAATAACTACTATACTGAGGCCACAAATTACCATATTGAGGCCACAAATTACCATATTGAGGTCACAGATTTCTATATTGCGGCCATGAATGAATATACTGAGGCCACAAATCACAGTACTGAGGCCGCAAATTACTATATTGAGGCCATGAAATACCATATTGAGGCCAATATTTACTATATTGAGGCCACAAATTACTATATTGAGGCTACAAATTACTATACTGGGCCATAAATCAATATATTGAGGCCACAAATTACTATATTGGGCCATAAATCAATATGTTGAGGCCATAAATTACTATATTGGCCCATAGATTAATACACTGAGGCCACAAATTATTATATTGGGCCATAAATCAATATATTGACACACCTTATTAAAAAAATAATCACTATATAATTAGCTGTGTAAACACTGCATTATATCAAATGAGTATTGCAAACTGACAGTAATAAGTTCAGATTTCTAGGGGTTAAATACCGGTTCACTCAATGTCTCTCCTAGAAGCTTCGGATTTAAGAAACATATAAAATCAAAACCCTTTTCTGAAAACGCCAGCTGGTCTTTACATTGTGTGAAAATTTCAAATGGACCAACAGAAATGGCCCAAACTTATTTGTTTAACTTCCTGTTTCACTCATCCAACATTAACTTCTCCAACTAAGATGCAACAAAACTCAGCATACTATTGTCTATTAAGCCACTTCAGTGTGTGACTTTGTAACTGACCTTCCGAACTTGTTGACCAGTGCTCCTACACAGAGCGCTCCGATCATACCTCCAGCGCTGAATATGGACACAGCAAAACTCCACAGGACAGTGACAGTGCAGTCCTCCATGGCTTTCCCGCTGCGTTCCAGAGACGCGTTCTTAAAGAACGCCTGTACTTTCTGCCCATCACAGCCAGAGAGAGAACCAGAATGAGAAGTTAATTACTTTCAGTTAAAGACTAAAGTGCTGGTTTGGCCAAAAACCTAATGTACACAGTTTCTCCTGCCTCACTCCAGATGTGACCAGTCAGCCAAGACATGTTTGCTGCATTTACATGACACCAGTTTTGGTTTCACCTCTCATTGATTTGTATGGAGGCAGGCAGCAGCTGTGGCAGCTGTAGGGATCACAGCAGGTGAAGATAAGAGTCTGGATTATCTCAACATTATTCAAATGAGTAGGAAGTTTCACCAGGCAACAGCCAATCAGATTGCTGCATCATGAGTCCATGCAGCACAACCATTTTATCAGCTCCACTTACTATATAGAAACACTTTGTAGTTCTACAGTTACAGACTGTAGTCCATCTGTTTCTCTGCATACTTTGTTAGCCCCCTTTTACCCTGTTCTTCAGTGGTCAGGACCCCCTTGGACCCTCACAGAGCAGGTACTATTTGGGTGGTGGGTCATTCTCAGCACTGCAGTAACACTGACGTGGTGGCGGTGTGTTAGTATGTGTTGTGCTGGTCTGAGTGAATCAGACACAGCAGGGCTGTTGGAGTTTTTAAACACCTCTGTGTCACTGCTGGACTGAGAATAGTCCACCAACCAAAAATATCCAACAGCATCCTGTGGGCAGCGTCCTGTGACCACTGATGAAGGACTAGAGGATGACCAACACAAACTGTGCAGCAGCAGATGAGCTATCGTATGAGCTATAAGTGTACAGAGAAACAGATGGACTACAGTCTGTAACTGTAGAACTACAAAGTGCACCTATATAGTAAGTGGAGCTGATAAAATGGACAATGAGCGTAGAAACAAGGTGGTCATAATGTTATGCCTGATCGGTGTGTACCAACAATCTAATTGGTCACCACTCAGCTCGGAGCCCCTAAGGTGACATGGTGATTATTTTATAATAAGGCATGGCCACAAATGAATATATTGAGGCAACGAGTTATTATATTGAGGCCACAAAATACTATGTTGAGGCCACAAATACCATGTTACTATATCGTGGCCACAATTTACGATACTGAGGCCACTAAGCGTTTGGCATTTGCATGCTTAAATCATCGCTCACCTCAAACTGTGTGGAGTTGTTCAGTAATCTCTAACAGACTTGCTTGCTTGTGGCTTCTGACACTGCAGATGCAGGATTCAAGATGGCTACAGTTTTAGCTATACAATGTCCAGTTTATAGGTAACAGAGTGTCAAACAGCGTCAAAAACCACATAAGCAATTCTATTAGAAATCACTTAATGGCTCAAACTTAGATGTGGGGTAAGACTGTCAGATGTTTTTGGCCAAACCATCCACATTACAATTATGCATACACAAACATTTACCTTATACGGGGCATTGATGACTCCTATATGGTAGCCGAACTGCAGAGAGCCAATGGCGGCCGTGCAGACGCAGAACAGCAAATGACATGTCATCCGCTTCCTCTGCGGAGGAGATAAGAGAATAGAAACAGCACTCGTTAGAAATAGAGAAAACCATGCGACCACAGCATGAGCAGAGCGGAGATGAGACGAGGAGTGAGGAGCGCAGATCAAAACACAAAGTGGCAGAAGAATTGCGCTCACAACACGCAGCTACAACACACATCCTCCCCAGACATTAGAATCAGTGAATGCACAGACACTGAAGCTCCACAGACAGACACACATTTTGGCAGCTTTCTTTTCCCTTCTTTTCAGTGTGATGCATTTAACCTTTCAATTGTTAAACCCCATTTTAGCCTGAAATGGCATCAAAGTAAAAGGAGTGCTGCTCCCACATACTTTGGGCTACAGTCATGATCTCACTCTCACTTGAAAGGCAACACTCTCAATATTTCATCCCAACCGTCAGAATACTTGCATGAATTACTGACACAGAGTTACAGAGGCTAGAAAGGAGGTGTTTATTTCTCCTGACTCACAGATCTCTACACTGATCTCTGACTCTTGCCGTGTTATCAGACCACACGTTTTGGATGATGTTGTCTCCGTGGAGAGCGGCGAGGCTCTGAAGGTGAGGACCCACAGATTTGCTAACGTTGGCTCATTCTGTGCTCATGTTGTAAATGAGATGATCATTACGGCTCTGAATAACATCATAAAATGGTTTGCGGGAATCGAATCCTGAAATTTCAAGCTTTCTAACGGTGTGTTGCATCTTTGTATTACTGGACAACTTGATGCCTAAAAACAGAAGTGAAGGCTTCACCGGAAGTGTGCTGGTACCAGTACTGCGATCTAGGAAAGGTTATATTGCAAAATCCTGGCAGTTCAGACATTTCTGCATTCAGGAAAAAAGCCTTCTCCATTCCAGCCTGCAGAGTTTCATAATGATGTCTACACAGAACTTAGACAGAAAGTAAAAAAAGAAACCATAGGCCCTATTCAGCCTGGATTAGCTTATCAGCGGGATGTCTGTGATATGATTTGTCTCCTCAGTGATACAGCTATTTCACACAGATGGCAAAAAGCTACTGCAGGACGGGTGAGTTTCTGGTGGGTTGTATTTTCCATGAACCCGGATGAACAGTGTTAGTTAGAAGTCTTCTTTCAGTAACTATAAAAGAAGGCCTATATCATGGGAGACCCGTTCATAAATAAGAGCATGATGTACTTAGTAAACATTGTTAAAACGTCACTTTTCACTACACAGTTCAAACAGTCCATTTTAAAACGAGGCTTCAAAAATAGCCCACTGCGTTCATCTTGGTTGTGGTGTAACCATGAACACTTTTTTATCTGTTTGCCCATTCGGCCTTACGAAAGCACAACTCCACCCATTCAGTGATTAAGCCCCACATTTCATTCATTCATTTTTAAAATAAGACACAATATAAGGCAGCCAGTCAGAACAGAAGTTGTTTGTATATATCAGTCATAAAAGATACAGCCTGTTTTACTTGAAAAAACAAAGCTGAGCTTTTTTTGGTCTATAACAACACAAATGTTATCAGTGGTCTTCATAAGGGAAAATAAATGAATATGGGTCCTTTAAAAAACACAAGAAACAAACCAATCATAGATACATGGCCAATAAAGCAAAGCGCCTAATAAAATCCCATACTGAACGTGCCTGATTCTGGGGAACACATCTCATGATGATGCAGGACATTTCAGTTGGCCGTTTTTTTCTGCGGCTTTTAGAGAAGCTGTGTTGAAATATTTCTGCAATATCGATGCTTCACACCTATTAACATTGTGTAATGCAACACGCTTAACTACATTCACATGAATGCTGTCAGTGCACTGCAAAAAATGGTATCTTGTCAAGTAATTTAAACTTAAATATAGTCAATAAATCTAATATCTCTGCTGGTGAGGTTGTTGTAAGCTTAATTTAAGATTATTTACCTTCTTACTAGGCATTTTTTACCTATTTTAACTAATTTTATTAAGTAAAATTACCTCCCTATATTGGCAGATCATTTTGATTGTTTTAAGAAATGTGCTTGCAGTATAGTGAAATAGTTTTACTTAATAAAATCACTTAAAACAATTAGAATTGTCTAGAAATCAGCTAAATAATCTTAGAATAAGTGCACAACCATCTCAAATTGGGAAATATTAGATATATTGACTAGATTTAGGATCATTTCACTTGACAAGACACCATCGTTTGCGGTGTGAGAATGGCAGTGAAGCTTGAATGCTCATGTTTGTCGCAGATAAATAAGTACAATTTTGTTCATCTACATCTTTTTCTCTCTGACTCCAATGATAATATATCTTCATAAGTATTATTAGATGATTCTTATTTAGAGTGACTAGCAATGCTTATTAGTAGGTATGTGCATTCTGACTAATTTTGATTTAATGGTTACCGACGACCTTTTAGCTGACAGCACTGGTGTTAGGAGGTTGAAAAACAGTAGCACAAAAAATTAGCAGCTTTTAGAGGAGAACATATGAAAAAAAATGCTTAAATACTCAAAAATATCTGAGGGAAATCGGTACATTTTCTCTGTCAGCTAAGTAGGCTGCCCCCTCAGATTAGCTAATGAGCTAAAGCTACAGCTGGCTAACCGCTACAGTGTCAGATGCTGATTAAGACTCGTCGTCTTCTGCTCAAACTCATTTCTCCTCAGCAGACGATGTACAAACGTTCATTTGTCTAAATAACATTTAGAATGGAGAAATATGGTTTGTGGACTGAGCTAACACCAGCTAGAGTAGTTAGCCTAGCGATAAAGCCATAAAAGCCATTCTCAAACACGCGTCCTTGCTAATGCGCTCATGTTAAGGCACTTGTATCGCTATGCTAATAACAAATAACCACCAAATCCTTCTCTCTGGGAAACTAGCACTGTCTCTGAAAGAGTGAACACAATATGTCACAATATTTTTTCAGACATCTGATCAGTTGGAACAGAGAAAACATAACCAGTTGTGCAAAAATACTATCAAAAACTGTGAACATAATGATTTTTATTCAATATTCGACATATTGTGTTGCTCTAAATCCAGTTAAATGGGACTAAATTAGTTCTCGTTGCAATCAAACATGCAGTTGGTCACAATATGTTCAGAAAAGCATATTGTATTGTGGCAATTTATCACAATATCGATATACATTGCTGTATTGCCCAGCCCTAAGCCTAATTTTACAAAGAGCTGGCTGAAGCATTCATGGAGTTCTTTTTAGAAATGTGTTTCAGTTGAACATGTACCAAAGGAATTTAGCAACAGCCCATTGACCTCTATTATGAGTGAGTTTCAACAGGTTTTCTGGTCTTTTCCAAGTTCAGGGAAATGTGTTGAAACTTTTGTTCTGTGGTAATCAACTATATGCTTCAGATGCAGCAGAAATACTCCTTTAACTGCTTCATTTACTGCATGCTTTCCTCTCTCTCACCTCAGTGCCTTCCTCTCTTTCCTGATTCCATCTGTCAGTTTACAAGTGAGGACAGGCTGAGGTAAAACTCCTGCTCAAGTTAAGACACGCTGACAAAGCCCTAAAGCAAGAAAAAATCCCTTCTCCTTTTATAAATCACTCCCAGCGTCCTTCTCTGTTCATTCCCCAAGCCTTTTGAGGAGATGCAGGCAGGTGGGGTGGGCATGGTTACATTTTTTTGGAAAATCCAGGTCCTCCTAAGAGACTGGAGCTGCTTATGAATATATCCTGAATACTTGTTCACAGATACAGTCATGTAAGTTATATTTAAGCCTGGGCTTATTGTGATATTGGCCTTTTCAGTACAGATATTGCCGAAACCTTCAATATGCAAATGAGCCCTCAAATTATCTACTGAGAGCATCCAGACCAATCACAGCTCCAAAAAGGTTTCTCTGGGCATTCTGATGAATCAAAATACTCATATAATCCAACAAAAGTCAATGATTTTGATCACAAAAAAACAGAAATACTGAAAAAAGTACTGAAAATACTGAAAAATACTACATTTTTGACATACTCAAAGCCACTTCACATACAGAGCAGTGTACACGCCCTGGCAAATGACGTTTTGTTGATTGAGTTTTGTTGAATGAGTTTGAGTGAAACTAAGTGAACACATTCTCTACATAACCTGAACTAACTTTTGCATAAGCCACACATTAAATTTTACTTTTTAATATGTTAAATTCAGGATGGCAGTGGGTAGCACTGCCAGCTCACAGCTAGAAGAGTCTGGGTTCGATTACCCAGCCGGGCGACCAGGATTCCTTTCTGTGTGGAGTTTGTGTGTGTCTGCCCAGCGATGGACTGGCGACCCGTCTGTGTTTCCTGCCTTACACCCATTAAGCGCTTGGATAAACTCCAGCACCCCCCACGACCCAGGAGGATAAGCGATTTAGATGACTAATAAATGAATGCATGAATATGTTAAATCCAGGAAATACACAGGAACTGTGTGCGTCAAAATAAGCAAAAGTGTGAGGACATGTTAATTCACTTTCGCTTACAAAATCAACAAAACGTCATTTGACCAGGGGCGCACAAACTTTTGCACACAACTGTACTGATGTTGTTATCAACAGGCTCTCTATATTTGGTCTAAATCTGTCTTTTTTAACGACCCATGCAGTTGTTCAAAGTTACCGAAGAACTGACTACATCGAACGCAAACTCAGAAAAGAGTATCGTGACGTAATTCATCACGATAACAGTAACATCGCCTTATTGCCCAGCCCCACAGGCAGAGGAGAGAGAAGATGCGTTTTTACCTTGCTGCCATCTTCCATCTTCTCCATCTTGAGGTTTTTCTGACTCCCTCGCTTTCAGAAGATGCAAAGCAGCTGCTGGGTGCCTTTCCTGAAAAAAAGAGAGCATTTTAATTTTTCAGAAATGACGATGAGAAGCTGTGACACGCTGTGACGTCAGGAGGCAAGTCTCATTTCCTCTTAGCGGATGTGTGTTACAGACAGATGAGCCGCAGTAGCATCTATAGCAGAAGTGGCCTGATTCATTTTAAGAGTGCATGTGGGCAAAATGTAAAAAATTACGAAAAAGAAAAAGAGAAAGAAAAACATGTGTTTTCCATGTGCTTTAGACCACAGCTTTAGCATCGTTGCCTGTTCAGAAGAACCATCATCTGAACAGAAAATACCCAAAATAAGTAGATTTTGCCTTCGTTATTTTTATTATCGTTCTTCTATTTTCACATTTTAGCACCTCCATCCGCATTTCTATCTATGAAATGTGCTGCGCAAAACTTCATATTTAATACTACCGCTTGTACTACTACATTTAGAACCGTGAGTTCTATATAGAACCATTTCAGGCTAAAATAGTTCTTTGCATGGTGAAACGGCCCTTCAGATAGATAGAGAATGTGTTGTATATGGTTCTATAAAGAACCTTTTGGAACCTTCTATAGCACCAAAAAGAGTTCTTCCACTGTTACAATGTCAAGCTTGGAACCCTTTTTTCAAAAAGGTTCTCTATAGAACCATATACAACACACTCTCCATCAATCTGAAGGCCCATTTAATCATGCAGACGGTTCTTGTTCATGGTTCTATATATAATTACGAAATTATATATTCAAAGACATTGGTTCTATTTATTTCTTTTTGAAAATGGGTTCTGGGTTCAGCTATTGTTACAATGTCAAGCTTCTAACAATATTAGAACACTTTTTTGGTGCTATATAGAACCATTTTCAAAAAGGGCCTATATAGAACCATATACAACACATTCTCCATTAATCTGAAGAACCATTTAAAGCGTGCAAAGAAGCGTTTAAGCGTGAAATGGTTCTATACAGAACTCATGGTTTTGAATAGAACCATTGCTTTTAGTAAAAACTCTTAAAGCACCATCCTTTTAACACTGTGCTGCTAATACACTACATAATATGCTACCTTAAGATAAGACTGGTTAACACTCATTACTAAAGAGTCAAAAGTCTTTTTTCTTTTTTAATAATAAACTTAGATATATTTTAAAAACGCTGTTTGCACGAATTATGAAAATAAAAATGACCACGTGTTGGTTTAAGGCGACCTTAAGGCTTCATGAAGTAATCAAAAGTAATACATACCTGACGTGGTGATGTATTATCTGTCCTCCTTTTGGAAGTGTTGATTAAATCTGGTTCTCTTTCGCCACTTTTATATGATATAGTGACCCAGTTCATTGACACGCCTCCCTTTCAACTTCAGCTGCTGATTCGGTGCTCCGTTCCACCTTAACACGTGCAGAAGTTACGTGCAACGATTAAAGGTGGAACGGATAGTTAGAAGAAGCGGCTTAGAAGCGTTTTTCCCCGCCCTCCTGCTGGGCGGGTCGGGGCAGTATGTCCCCGCGCTGCGATTGGTTAACTCACAGGAAGCCTACCAATCAGCGTATGATTGGGCGGGGCTTTGAAGAATACGGAGAGGAACGGTGTCATGGCTTAGTTTTGTAACTTCTCGCCCCAAAATTGCCTTTTCTGGAGATTGTTATGATTGTTATGATGGCACATTTTTGTCGAGGGCGCTGTGGGATCAGCAACATGTGGCATTAAAACACTGAACAGGTGATGAAGCTATAAAAGTACGAGAAACAGAAAAACAGAAACAAAAAAGAGCTTTTAAAGCCATTTTATTAAAACCAAACACAACAGGAACGCTGTGCTGATACACAGTACCACCCGGGAAGAATACACCTGTGGACCCCCTTCTACAAAAACAATGCAGGTGCTGGTATAAGCTGGTCATGCTGGTTGACCAGCATACCAGCATCCAAAACACAACATATGCTGGTTTTGCCAGTTTTATGCTGTTTTTTCTGGCAGGGTGGCATAGAAGAAATCAACCCTGCAGAAAAAAGACCTTAGAACCATAGGACACCTTTAGATCCCATTAAGAACACATCTGGAATCAGTCACAGGACACCTGTTAAACCTTTAGAGTGCTTTACACTGTGACATCAACCCATCAGGAAAACACAGAATACCATTAGTGACTATTGAGCACCACCAGGAACAGAAACCTTTATGGTTTCTATGATTTCTTTCCAGCAGGGAAGCAAAACAAAATGAAACAAAAGCTAACTGTGCTACACTTCCCTGGCCAATAACCAAAAGTATACGGGACGGTGCCCACCTGCTGACCTAGATGGAACTACACGAAGGGGCAGATTTAGTGATTCTGGGGCCCTAGGCAGAAGACAAGAACAGGGCCCCCTGGATGAACAGCTCTGAGCTTCCACTACTGCAAACAAAGATGTCTTGGCAAGTGAAATCATCTTAAATCTAATCGATATATTTCATATTTCTCATTTCGTGATTGTTGTAAGTGTATTATAAGATTATCTCACTCTGTTGGCAGATAATGTTGCTTGTTGTAAGAAATATTACTTAAAGCAAACAAAATTATCTACCACTGTAGTGAGATAATTGAGTATAGAGTAACATAGGAATAAAGTAATGCATTACTTTATACAGTATTGAAACCCCATTATATTTTGAGATATATATAGGTTCTTTAACATCAACGCATATATAATTATCAGGGATTATTTCAATGGATTTGAAATTATCAGGGATTATTATCAGGGATTATTTCAACCTATTTTCAATAGGTTCTTTAACATCAACTCATACAGTATATGTAATTTATATTTGGGGCTCTTGGCTCATGGGGGCTCACGGCGACTGCCTACCTTTGCCCAGTGCAAAGACCACCCCTGACTAGATAAACTCCTACATGGAGCGAATGTATAGGTGCGCCCCTCTTACCTGTTTGAAAGCCCAGGTGGTACAAATAATCATGCAGCTCTTGTTCACCAAGCTGGGAGTGCGCTGGTGAGATCTACCCAACATAAGCAGACCAATAACACAAGAGAAAAGGGCTGTGTCCAAAACCGCAAACTACCACACTGAAAAGTATGTCAAAAATAGCACACCACCAATACAAGGCTATTCATTAGTGTAGTATGTGTCTGTGGTTTTGGACGCTAAGGTCTCCTGAGACCAAAGTTAAGGGAGTGTGCTGATACATCTCCCAACTAAAGCTCACCCCAACACAAGAGCTGCTGTCTCTTTTACAAAGTTTAAATGTGTGGGTAAAATACTGAAGCCTAAGCAGACCCCTAACACAAGAGACACTTTCTCCTGTAAACTTGCTAGGAAAAAATAACGCCAGGTCTGGGTCATCAAATTATTGCCCTGGGCACAAATATCTGGTGGGCCCCTACTTGGCTACCTTTTTTGGGTGGTCAGGGACTTTTTAATGATATCAAAGCAGGTTACACAAGTTACCTATGCAGCACACTAACTGCAGTGTTGGGCACGTCACCACTATAAATGTTTTTTTTTATTTATAACTGCATTTTTTTCCAATCAAGACAAAACAATAGCAAGATGCAACCAATGCAGCATTTCCTTATAAAGCACTGGCCCACTATTCACAAGCAATGCACTTCCTCCAATAAAGGTAACATAAATTAAAAATGGATGGCTGAAATGTACGTAAAGACGGAAAAAAGAAGCAAGCTTAACATCCCAAACCATCAAGTATCCTAAGGTGAAGCATACTGCCAAAGGAGGTGTAAAGGATTTTATATTGTTTTCCATTTATATCTTACCTTTGATGACACAGACCATTGCCGACAAGGACGATGTAACTTTTTTCTCTAACTCGAGTGGCTGACATTTTATATTTGGCTTTGGAAACAGGTGTCCTCTATTCTGTCGAAGTATCAGGTCTCGCTTTACAGATCTTTTGAATATCTGGAGCTTCAAATTCAAAGTACATTCACAGTAATGTTAGCTCAATGCAGTTTTTTTTTGGTACATTTTTCGACATGTTTTTCCGTGAGTCAAAACAGCTGTTTATATTTTCCCATAATTACTTATGGGGGCCCCCTAGTGGCTCAGGCTGAGTAAAACACAGTATGTGTGGTAACACTCCTCTCCACCTTCAGCCACGTTGAATGCAGCTTTTAAGCATTAGGCTCCACCCCCCAATTACATCAGCCAGGATTCTGATTGGTCACAGGCCCTCCACATGACTGATGCCAAAAGCAGGCACACCTGTGAAGGGAGAGACCCGGAGAGAGAGACACAGACAAACACAAAAAAACAGAATACGTGCTTTATGTCACAGAGATGCATGATGTTTACACGGGAAGCGTGACTTCGGTTCGTCCTACGTGGCGTCCCACCGGAGTCCGTCGCATAAAAAGCCTTTGAGGCTCGGTTTCACTACAATGGGGCCACTCATGCGTACGTTGTAGTCATGTGGAGTGCTATAGTGGGAGGAGATGGGAGATTTATCTCTGTAAACAAACAGGCTTCTATGTCACAACTTCAAAACTGGCTGTTGTCCACTCCAGACTGAATGACTTCATGCTGTCCAGCCGTATACGTGTCAGGATGCACAGCGAAAAGAAGCACAGAGAGTTGAATTAACACCTACACTTTTTGCATTAGCTCCTACAGTGTTGAATTAACACCTACAGTGGTCATTTCAGAGCAGCTAGACACAAATGGACATTGTGAGAGTGGGCATTCGGCCGGTTCATTGTTTCGCTGCACTATTTGAGCCTCTTGCCAAAGTGCCCCCGCTCTCTCGGCCAGCAGCTCCGCTCAAAATGTTCTCTCCACTCTTTTGTCATCAAAAAGAATGCATAGTATAGATGTAATAATGAGGCATCACAATCGCCCTTACAGCTCTGTACACCAGCTCGTCAAAATTTTGTCTGACCATCAGAATTAAGGTGGCCAATTTCGAGGATATTCCAACCTAATCTGATGGTTGTGGGAAAATGGACATCGCATGTGATGTTTGAGAGTGACTTTTCCATAAACCATCCTGAAAAAACTTTATACTGGTCTGGTACTGGTTTAACTGGTCATCACCAAAACCAGCATTTGTTGTGTTTTGGATGCTGGTCAGCCAGCATGACCATGGACCATAGAATTCATACTGGTCTGTGCAGGTCTTTTCAGCAGGGGAATTTGGCTAACAAAGTTTCTGGCAGTGTGAATCAACACTTAGCCAAACTTCGCCTCATCTCTGGAATTTTCTGCATGTCCTTATCGTACAGCTCTTAGCTAATGTATTTTAAAGACCTTCAAAAATTGTTCACAGTCCTGTTAAATGCAAATATAGAAGAAGTTGCATGCTAAAGCTAACATGCGACTTCAGCATTTAGCATGCAACTTTAACTGCTAAAGCTAACATGCGACTTCAGCATTTAGCATGCAACTTTAACTGCTAAAGCAAACATGCGACTTCAGCATTTAACATGCAACTTTAACTGCTAAAGCTAACATGCAACTTCAGCATTTAGCATGCAACTTTAACTGCTAAAGCTAACATGCAACTTCAGCATTTAGCATGCAACTTTAACTGCTAAAGCAAACATGCGACTTCAGCATTTAGCATGCAACTTTAACTGCTAAAGCAAACATGCGACTTCAGCATTTAACATGCAACTTTAACTGCTAAAGCTAACATGCGACTTCAGCATTTAGCATGCAACTTTAACTGCTAAAGCTAACATGCGACTTCAGCATTTAGCATGCAACTTTAACTGCTAAAGCAAACATGCGACTTCAGCATTTAACATGCAACTTTAACTGCTAAAGCTAACATGCGACTTCAGCATTTAGCATGCAACTTTAACTGCTAAAGCTAACATGCGACTTCAGCATTTAGCATGCAACTTTAACTGCTAAAGCAAACATGCGACTTCAGCATTTAACATGCAACTTTAACTGCTAAAGCTAACATGCAACTTCAGCATTTAACATGCAACTTTAACTGCTAAAGCTAACATGCAACTTCAGCATTTAGCATGCAACTTTAACTGCTAAAGCAAACATGCGACTTCAGCATTTAGCATGCAACTTTAACTGCTAAAGCAAACATGCGACTTCAGCATTTAACATGCAACTTTAACTGCTAAAGCTAACATGCGACTTCAGCATTTAGCATGCAACTTTAACTGCTAAAGCTAACATGCGACTTCAGCATTTAGCATGCAACTTTAACTGCTAAAGCAAACATGCGACTTCAGCATTTAACATGCAACTTTAACTGCTAAAGCTAACATGCGACTTCAGCATTTAGCATGCAACTTTAACTGCTAAAGCTAACATGCGACTTCAGCATTTAGCATGCAACTTTAACCGCTGAAGCTAATATGCGACTTCAGCATTTAGCATGCAACTTTAACCGCTAAAGCTATTATGTGACTTCAGCATTTAACATGCAACTTTAACCACTAAGGC